AAACTTCACGTTAGTGACAAAAACATCAGGGACAGCCTTTATGGAAAAGGAAACCTATCGGACTAACACGTAAAACAAAGAGCATTTGGAAATGAAAACAGAATTCAAACCAACACAAAGAGAACAACTCAAGTGCAGAAAGGTAAATGAGCCTCCCCACCCCACTCCCCCATAAAAACAAAACAACAAAGAAAACCACAACTGTTCTGTGAAACTACATTCAAAGGTCTTAACATGAGTGAGAATGCTTCATGAGAGCATGAGGGACGGCAGGTGGTAGATGGCAAGGCCGGACGGAGCATACAGAGCGGCCACGGAGGGAGGGACAGGCCCTCACACAGCACTTAAGGACAGACGCTTACTTCCTGTGCCCATCAGCTCCTGTGAGGACTCACTGTTTAGAGAGCTGAGACATATTTTACATTTGGCAGAGTAATAATGTGATATTAAAAGGAGTATGAAAAGAATTATTCTCTGATAACGCTATCAATTGTGATACATTTTTGTATTTCAAAGAAAGATTCATAACTCAGACTTGAAAAAATAAAACACCCTGGGAATTAAAGTTTGTGACGAGAAATGTTTTAAAGTACAGCACTAAGAGCTGTATCCACAGTGAAAATTAAATACACGGATCTAATTCTTAGATGCAAACCTAAATCACAAAGCACTTCACCGAATTTGGGGGGGGGGGGCTCGATGCCAAGAGCTAAAGCAGTATTTTCCAAAAACATCAAACATAAGGATGCTTTTCTTATATTTACTACTTTGACATTCAAATCGTTCTTAAAAACTGTTTATTCAATTCTCTCAATAAAATTCACCAACAGGAAATAAAAATATTAGTTCTCCTACTATATCACGCATAGCCTAGAATACCATATTTTCATCTAAGATTTTAATTTTTCCAACAATCTTAAGTGATTCTATGAAAAATAGGTTTAATATTAGGTTGCCTAGACTTCTCTGATTTTTAACTAAAAAACTGGAGGCATTTCCACCTAATACAATTTCTAGGTGTACTAGTTCTAAATTAAGAATTTCTCAAGTTTTCATAAAATTGTCAAACAAAATGGATTTTTAAGAAAGTAAAGCTTACCACTGTTGGGGAAGAGCAGGAAGACCTTAGCATTAATACCAACTAGATACTAATTCCTTAAAATTTGGAAATTTAGTGGTACTTGTACTGACTGCTTTTTTTACTCTTTAGTCAGATGGGTAGAGCTGAATTTCTGTACACTTAAGTGAGCGTGATGTAATTCTCCAGAGCAAATTCACATATGTATCACTGAAAACAACAAGTAAAAAACTAAATTACATACCCCTTCTCCAAACTACTCATTTTATGTAGGGTTCATCATGGAGTCTGAGTCAGTAGACGTCCTTCTCACACAAAACGATGTGAATTACAGAAATGTACTAAGCAAAGGGGAGTTCACTGCAATCCTGTCTTTCCCCAGCCTAAGTAAGCTCCGTTAATGAACCCCCACTGCTCCTAGGATAGGTGGGAGCTGTTGCCGACAGCTTCAGGAGTCCCTGATCTATGTCTGCAGATCAGCTTCTGTACAGAGTCCTACTCACCCTGTGCCCAGTAGAGCTGGCCTAGCCCTGGGCCTTGTGCACACAAAGTGCAGATAAATAGTGGTTGAATAAGTGACACAGAAAATTAATACTGAGAGACCTTGCTCCAAGACTGCAGTGAACTTCACTTTGCTCAACAGATCAGTGTAATTCACATCTGTTTGTGTGCCAAGGAAGACTACTGATTCGAACAGACTCCATGATGATTCCGAAGTTAGGCTTCCTAACATGAATGTTTTATCAGTCTGGGGGTCATCTTACAAAGCAAAATTCAGTTTAGCGAAAGTAACAGGCAGACCCCAGGGCAAACTGCCATCAGTAAGGAATCTCCAAGGGTCTTTATTAAAACACAGCAATACTATCCCCACTAGTTTTATAATTTTACTCAGGCCAAAACTAGCTTCACTGAACTATGCTAGTCTGTTTTATGGTTTAGGACCAGCACTAGGCAGAAGCACTTGGCATGAAGGAGAAACTCACATGCTGACAAAACTACATTTACACTGACAGCAACCAAGTTCAACCTAGTAGAAAAGGAAAAAACAATAATAAAGATCTGGTCTATGTAAAATAACAGGAGATGGCCCAAAGTTGGTCCCCTTTCTTAACAATATTTTTGTGCACTTTTTAAAAACACACTACCTCTTGTGTGTTTTTAAAAAAAAAAAAAAGAAATCTTTCTATGTCATCTCTACGCCCACTGTGGGGCTCCAACTCACAACCCCAAGAGCAGAAGCTGCTTGCTACACTGACTGAGCCCGCCGGGCGCCCCCAGCTCTCATCTATTTTTTAAAAAATAGATTCCACATCCGATTACCTTCTTTAAGGAAGACCGACTACAGATATAAGTAGAGCACTGCACTTTTAAGACCACAGGTACACTGTAACTGCAGCTTAAGATCCAGCATTTGGGACTTACAAAAGGTACAAGACGTGTAAGACAGTGATAGACAAGTGAGCTCCTTGTCTCCTACCGTAGCACCAACTCCTGTGTAGCCCAGCCACCTCCTGCCACCCGCACATACTGCCCATCTCAAAAATAACAACAAAACCAGACATCACACCTTGCAGAAAACTCTTCCAAAAGCAGTTCAACAGTATTTACTATCTCCAGAGGACTACGTAACTTAAAAATAAGTTCACAATTTCAGGGTGCGTGGCTGGCTCCATCAGTGGAGTGTGTAACTTGGTCTCAGAGTCGTGCGTTCGAGCCCCACGCTGTGTGTAGAGACTACTTAAACGTAAAATTAAAAAAAAAAAAACCAAAACAATAGTAATTTCAATTTCTCAAAGAAATATTCTTTTAAGGGTGCCCGGGTGGCTCAGCAAGTTAAGCATCTGACTCTGGATTTCAGCTAAGGTCATGATCTCAGGGTCGTGGGACTGAGCCCTGTGTCAGGCTCTGTGCTCAGTGGGGACTCTGCTGCTTTCTCTCTCTCTCTTCCTTTGCCCACCCCGCCCTGGGCACAGGGCAAGTAGGACTCTGTACAGCGGGGTGGGCAAAGGGAGAGAGAGAGAGAGAGAAACCATGCTCTCTAAAATAAATAAACCTTTAAAAAAAGAGAGAGAGAGAGAGAGAGAGAAAGAAAAGAAATTTTCTTTTAAGATCCCCTTATCCTCCAGTATTATGCGGTTTGCTTCTTCTATGATCCCCTTATTAGCAGTATTATCCTAGCTTCTTTATCTAGGATTAGATAAAATTATATTTGCAGAATGGAAAAATAGAAGTAGATGAAAATTACAAATCATTAATTATTAGTAAACACATTTTTATAAAAATATCAAGTACATACAAAACTGCTTTGTTTTTCTTAAACTACAATTGGTTTTCACATCAAATTTTATCTCTATAATGCAAACAAAACACAAAAATAAGTCTAATAATGATTATAACACAGCTGCTTACATTTCTGAAAAACAGCAAAAAGTACTTAAAATATCAGAACTTAAAATATAGTAACTAGCAGTTAAACTACTTCACCAGAAAAAAATGTATCTAACAAACAACTAAATCACATGTGCTTATCACTGGACCATGCAATTAATAAACCCTCGCTGTTATAACAAGTGCTTTGAACAGAGAACTGTACTCAATAAATACCACTTAATTTAAAAAACCTAGTTTTTAGTACACTTCATAAGTAATTTAAAGGAAAAATTAGTTAATATGAGGTAATAAACCCATTCAAAATCAGTTTTAGAAAACATAATTCATAAATAACTACAAATCAAAGACATTTCTAAAAAATACTCTGAACTTTAAATCCAATACTGATTTTATTTTTGAATAATCATCTCACTATATACCTAGAGCCTTCATTAAAACTTTCTTGCCAAATGCCTTATAGTAAATAAGCTATCTACTTAAGTGTCAAAGCTTAAGGGTCAAACAGTCTTTTAGATATTTCCTGAAATCAAAGATTATTCAATTCAGTCTCAACAAAACTTTATCTGTTTTACATAAAAATGATACTAAAATTTTATGATCTGGTCCATTTTTTTTTCAACACTATAAAAAGAACATGTCCTCACTGATTTAACAAAACCAAGAACTAATAATAAATCTAACCCAAAACTCAAAAAAAAAAAAAAAAAAGAAATTTATTTAAACAGATACAACTATTTAATAGATATTTTTCTTCTAGTTAAAATGTATTAGAAGAATGGATAAAGTTAAGGAAAGCATACCAAAGTATGGAGGGGACAGAATCTGTACTTTCTTGTAAAGATACTTTAAAGAGAAAACCTTCATTTTAAACTATAAAACCAATAGCTCATTAAGACTTCTGAGGTTTGGTTGTCTGCTTTTTTTTTAAGCAAGTAGAGATCACTTTTTTTTTTTTAAAGATTTATTTATTTGAGAGACAGCATGCATGAGCATGGGGGGGGGTGGGCGGTGCAAAGGGAGAGAGAACCCTAAGGCTGAGTGCGGAGACCAATACAGGGCTCAATCCCAGGACCCTGAGATCATGACCTGAGCTGAAACCAAGAGTCAGATGCTTAACCAACTGTGCCACCCGGGCACCCCAAGAATTCATTATTATTCCCTAGAATTTCACACACATACCCACATGTACATAAATTCACACGTGCATGCGTGCACGCACACATGATAATAAAGCAAGGCCCTTTCTCACTTAACGTACAGCAATAATGAAATCAAAATTCATACTCTTTAAGATGAAAGGCGCTGTATGATCCTGATTCAACACTTTTACAGTTAAACAAAATTAATTCCATTCTCAAAAATCCACTGACCTTAAGCTTTTAACAAACATTTTCCACTGCAAAAATTATTGTCAATATTTACAAATCTTTAAACTTATATTTAGTTGGAACCACTTGTATTTGCTGTATTAATATTTCTTAGTAAATATATGCTCATCCCTATCAGAGCAGAAGGAGCAGCTGCTACTCACTGGGAATCTCTGGGGCCCCACAGCAGGTCTCGGCTGGCTCGGGACTGGCAGCAAGGGCACTAGGAAGAAAACACCTTAGGTTACAAACACCGTTTACTTCACAAACAAACACCCACTGAGAAAGGAACACAGTATGTTAAGTTTAATAAAAAATATATACCATGTGTAAAATACATGTAATATATTAAGTTTACACTTAACCTAAATCCCATACAAGGGAAGGGGAGAGCAGAAGGCTTGCCAGCGTACAAAGGCATATGCAGAAGCTGAAATTTCAGCAGGGAATTCCTATTTAGAACTAAAATGTTTTGCAATAAAAAAAGAGCTTACTCCTCTAAAATAAAAATGGCGTTGTGTTTCACATCCATCACCCAGTTATCCAGACTATCTACTCCAGTTATGGTTTCTGACTCCAATCAAATACAAATTTAAATCTAAATCTTCTAGAATCATGAGGGGGGGGGAGGAAAACACACATACCCATGGTAGTGTTACAAAGAACAATCTACTATGCCAAGACTTTCGGTATGGTTTTGTTGTTTTTAAACAAGCAGAACTCCAATCCATCTACTGGAAGAACACAAAATCATAATTTTAAAACAGACATTTTATACTAAGGAAGAAGCCACATGTTAGTTTTATACCCTGGGGCTAAATAAGGTATGCTCAAGTTACTTAAAACATATGCATTGTACTGATCTAGATTTTGGAGGGAAAAAAACAACAACAAAAACAAACTACCACCCACCTAGGGACTGCTACATGGTGGTACGTCGTTATCTTTCATTAAAATGTGCTGCCAGATGCATGTAGTAAGCTCTCAGGTGGTCAGGTGTTATGGGCTGAACTGAGGCCCCCTCCCAAATGTGTATGCTGAAGTCCCAACCCCCAGTCCCTCAGAACAGGACTGGATTTGGGCTACGGACCTTCAAAGAGGTGATTACAGTAAAATAAGGTCATGTGGGTGGGCCCTGATCCAGTGTGACTGGTGTCCTTATAAGAGATTAGAAACAGACATGCACAGAGAACAACCAGCCATATGATACAGAGAAAATAAAAAAATAATAATATCACATACCAAATTTTTAATTTAAAAAATGGTGAATAAGAAATAGAGAAATTATACAGCTTAAAGGTCAAAATTACTTTAAAAACAGAACACTAAGATAAATTTTATTTACTATAGGTACTCAAGGAACTCTAGACATCAAGCCTTATAATGAGGGTCAAACTTCCTCAGGTTCAATTTAAAGTGACTATTTTTGGAGCAGAGTCACGACCCATCAAACACAAAGTGTGGCTAAAAGAAACTTACCTGGATAAAATGTAAAATGGCAGAAGTCCTGAGAGAGAGAGAGGGAGGGAGAAAGAGGGAGGGAGAGAGAGGGAGGGAGGGAGGGAGGGAGAGCCTAATCCAGTAAGTCGAAATTTCAGAATGAGGTCAATTTGAGAGACTTTATATAGAACAGGATCCAGCCCCCAAGCCTATACGGCCTCCTAAAAGGCACTGGGGGAGGGGGAGGAGTTCATCAATTTATCTGAAGCAAAACAGTAGATTGTGAAGTGGAAAAACAATTAGAGCATCTCTGACCTCAAAAGACTGTAACGAAAGCGAAGGAGAAATAAACTACATATTAAACAATATAAAGGTGATGGTTTTTAAATTAAGTACCAAATATAAAGTACCCAGACCTTCAAGACTATGTGCCACTAATTTTTAAACTTGGCATTTAAACATCAATTCCTGTCAGAAACCTCAAATACAACAAAAAGATTAAAAAAAAAAATAGGTCTCTTTAACTGGGGAGAATGAGAGCAAGAAAGCTAGGAGCGATCTTTGGGAAGGAATCTGATTATAATTAACAGATTTCTTACACAGAAGCCTCTGGTTAGTTGGCTTGCTTTTCTTTTCTTTTTTAAAGTAAACCGTAAAAAGCAACAAAAAAGAAAAGAAGGGAAAAAGAACGAAAGTTGACAAACGAGAGCACCTAAGGACAGTGTGAGGGGGGCAGATCAGAGATCCAGCCGGGAGAGAGGGCCTCGGTCAGACCGCCGAAGCCTCTGCCAAGTGTCCCTCGGGAGCTCTGCAGTCTCCCGGGCCTGTGAGCAGGGGACACTTCCAACTAGCTGCCTTCCTCTGCGCCGTGAGCAGAAGAATTTGACACTTGTAATGGTAACACACCATTCTAGCTGAACCCTGTACTCGGAATATTTGATATTCAACATTTATCTTTCTGTTGTTCCATGTATTTAATGGACTAAACTGAGTAAGTTTTTAATTCATTACAACAGTTTAATACGGAAAAATCTAGAAAACAAGTTAAATTTCCATCAAAACTGGTTAATTATAATATGATGGAACCCTCTTCATCCTTGAAAACGTGTGCCATCAGGAAGAGACGTGCTTACGCGGCTATTTTTTAAAAAACATTTTCATGTACCTTTCAACGGCCTGTGGCTCTGAGACCCTGGGGTCTCAGACGCCCTCTGCACAGGAGACACGCAGACACCGGCAGCCTCCCTCAGGAAGAGCTCGCTCGTTTACTACGGACACTTGACTCTTCAACGGCGCCCTGCGTGTACGCCCAGCCAGGACAGGGCTGCGCTCCCTCCCGCATCAGCCTAGCTCAAGATCAAAGGTACGCCAACGAGAAGGAACGTGGGCTCTGTAGCAGCCAGCTTCATGGTGAAAAATCATTTAGCCGGTTCGAAGAGTGTAAAAACTATTGTCAGAGAGTTGATCTTACATTTACTGAACGATGAGCTTTGCGGCGCAAGGCCTGCATTCTATATCTGTCAGGCTGCTGACTTTTGTTAAGGCACACTGTTTTCGTATCTGGAAGACGTCCTGGGGTTTCCTTGGAGCTTTCCCACTCTGGACTTCTCTATTTGTTTGTATTAGGCTACAGGAAGTCCGCGCACCCTACCAACTGCCAGTTTTCCATTCCATGTTTATGAGGAAATACACAGTAACAGATGCTGACCTCAGTAAAATTTCTCTGAAAACCAACACCGACTGCAGGTGCCCGTCCTGGGAAGCCACTGTGGCCAGGGCCCCTCTAATGTGGGGGTTCGTGCACCCCGCAGCTGCTGCGGGAGACACAGGCCGGGCGCCAGTCACAGGACGACGGCAGGGGGCGCGGCAGCCGCACTGCGTGCCTCAGCACGCAAAGCCCCGGCGGTGGAGGAGGAGGCCGGCAGGAGATTCCAGTAGGAGGTGGGGACAGGTGGAGACTGCCCGGGGCTGGGGAGGGGGAGGGGTCGGGACCCGCTCTGACTCTGCCTCCCAGGTGTGTAAAACAGGAGCTCCCGGAACACGACCGAGGCCAGCCCGCCGCCATCACCCTCACAGATGTGCTCCAAGGGCACAGCTCGGTCTCAGAGTGCCTCCGCCCACCCTTCAAGTCCCATCTCCGGCTTCTCCCCAACTTCTGCAACTATGGGATTCCAGGTTCAGTGTCAGCGGAGCCCATGGGGGCCTCAGCCACCCCCTTCTTGCTCAAAGGGAAACCGAACGCTCCCAAAGAGGAGGCTGTTTTCCTCCTGCCGGCTCTGCAGGTGGGCCTCCGGGGCCAGAGGCCCTCAGGGCTGTCAGTGCTGTTTCAGACCCCAGCTCTGGCTCTCGCGTCACCCGATGGGTCACACCTACCCCCAGTGGCTGTCCGTCTATTGGCCCAACTGCGGCTCTCGCGCCCCAGAGTTCAGCTCCTGTCTGACCACTGTCTCCAGCCCTGTCTTTAGTCTTCACAGAGACCATGCTTCCCGTACCTGGCCTCCTGGGTCCCTGACTACCGTCCTCCATCCCTCTGCGGCCACATCCAAGACCTGGTCGTCCTCAGTGACCCACGTTTCCACAATCTCTATGCAGCTCCCTTTGACCTCGCCACCTCACTCTCTCCCAGTGACCGCTCCTCCTTTTCACCTGTGACAAGCAATGCCACCCTCTACTGCTGTCAACACCTGGATTCTGGCAAACGCAAAACTGTGTCCATCCCACATACCCACGCTGTGATTTGATGCCAAGTTCACCACCACACAGCTCAAGGGAGCTTCAACACAGCCTACTGTCCCCCGCCAGCCCATCCACTCCCCTACACGGAGACTCCATACCTTCTCTCCCCTCCTCAGACCTGCAACACTCCCCCTCCCCTGTGTCCCGCCATGCACAGCCCGGCCTCTGGGAGCCTCCCAGCGAGGACCAGTTCCGCCGCTGGGAGCCGGGTCCTGGCGAGGACCAGTTCCCCCTCGCCTGCATCCATGAGTTCTCTCCTCCTCAACTGGCTGCTGGTGTTCCCTTCTGGAAATAAGAAATTTTCTCTCAAGCCCACTTCCTCTTACCCATTACCATCCAACTTCTGTTTTAGCAAAACACCTTCAAAGACCATCAATGAAATGCCCTCCCATTTCCATGCCCCCAATCTCTCCCCCTCCCACCTAAGTGAGGCAGGCACCTTCCCCATGATACCACAATCACCTGTCAAAATCCCCAAGGCCCCTCTGCTGAGGGCGGTTGTCAGCCTGCAGTCCACCCCACCGCCCTGTTGGCAGAGGCCACTTTCCTCCGCCACTTGCCCCCCACAACTCTTTCGGCTTCCTCCTCCCTGCCCCCTGCAGGGCGCCCGGCTGTCCAGGTTCCAGGCCTCGGGCTCTCCCTACACTTTCACTTCTCTCCTCTGGGGCTCTCACTGGGTGCAGGCTCTAGACTTGCCTGTGTGCCAACCACCCCACAACTTGTACTTGAGCCTAGACCCCCCTCGTCCGAACTCTTACTACCTGTATACCACACACCTCCACCCACAGGTCTCGCTAGCACCTAAAATGTAGCACAACCAGAACAGAACTTCGGGCCTTCCCCCCGCAAAAATTAGTCTCCCCATCACAAGTGGCGGCAAGTCCATCCTTCAAATGCTGGACCCCCTTGTCATCATTCCTGCCTCCTCCCTCCCACACACCCATCCAGTCCATCACCACATCCTGCTGGGTCTGTGCTCAACTCTATCTAGCATCTGACGGCTTTCCACCATCACTGCCACCACCCCAGTCTGAGCCACTACCATGTGCTGCCCGCACTAGTGTCCTCTTCCCCGGCCCAACGCCGGCTTCCACCCTGGCCCCTAGAGCCCATTCCCAAAGGGGCAGCAAGAATGACCCTTTTAAGAGAGAAACCGGATCACGTCTCTCCTTAAACTCCTCCAGTCACAGCCCATTTTGCTCAGAGGAAAAGCCACGGCTCTTAGAAGGGCTTGAGGTCTTACATGATGCGGGTCCCATGGTTCCTCTCTGCTCTTACCATTCCACTTATGTCATGTCATCTTTTTGGTTTCTGGAACACTCAAGGCATGGTCTCACCGTCTCTTGCTGATCCCTCTGCCTGGGATACTCTCCCCTGAAACAGTGACATCCCTGGCTCCGCAACCTCCTCCAACTCTGACATCTGCAGCAAGTCCCACCCTCATCTCCCAAGTTACACAGTCGACCCCAGGCCCTTAGCTCTGCTCTCTCTCTGTCCGCTAACAGGCTGCACACATTCTTCCTGTGACGTCTCTTGCTCACTGCCCGTCTCTGCCAGGAAGCAAGGTCACCACTGCAGAAAGCTTTATCTGTTGTTTGTCAGCAATGTATTTCAAACACCAGAGATAAAGAAATATCTCAACGTGTGCTCAACAGATACATGAAGATATGCTCCATATCCACTGCTCCAAAGCGGCCTGCTAGCTTCAGCAACATGTGTCCGTAGTAACACCGGCGGTTACACACTGAAAATGACAACTAGCACATACTGAGTGGGATGCACTCACTGCGCAAACACTCCCACTAGAGAACGTATGAAGAATAACAACTCGGGCACTTGCACAATGACCTCTGCTGCCCTTGAAATTTAGAGGTTGCTCAGTGCTTTCCACCACATCATAAGAGGTACAAATTCTTGAGTAACTGAGCTCGGCCCATCGAGCGGGCACGTGTCTGGGGGTTAGGGCGAAGCAGAGAAGCCAAGCCGTCCTTACAGACCTGCTGGTGAGAACGGCCTGGCTGCAGGAGCCTACGGCTTTCCGACAGCAGAAGAGACACGTACCTTGGACGGGCGTCACCACTGCCCCTTTGAAGTGGGGGTTGATGTGTATGTTCTTGGGCTGCTGCGGGGTCACGGGGGGCGGGGTCATCATCCCCCTCGGGGCCTCCATCTGGGGCGGCACGTGCACCCCCGGGGGCGGCGAGGCGTGGTGTGGGTGCTGCAGGGGGAGCAGGGGCTGCAGCTGCTGCTGCTGGAACAGACTTCGGATGGGCTGCTGCTGTGCGGGCGGTGGCGGCGGTGGCGGCGGCGGCGGCTGAGGCTGCGGAGGGGGAATCAGTCTTGGAGAGTGTGTCTGAAAACCATGAAGGAAGAGAGACAAATTCACAGAAATCAACATTTAGAAGAAGAGTAAAGGAAAGCTACCGCCTTACAGTCTCACGCTGGCTCGACAGTAAGCGTACGGCTGAGAAGTACGTTCCCAGTGACAGCCCAGACGAACCAGCGGCACCGGTAAGCCACACTGCCCGTTCCCAGCGAGCACCACCGCCTCACAACGTGACCCAATCTCAGGGCAGAGAGGGAAAAATCGTGGCCTCAAAACAACACGCACGGATTCCAAAGGTTTAAAAACTTTCGGTTCAGTCAACCAAACCGCCCGGAGCGAGCCAAGCACTGTGCTGCAGGCAGAGCCCAAGCTGCCCTCGGCCTCCCTGCAGCCAGGCCTGCTTCTCCTCCTCAGAAAACCTGGGAAAAAAGCCGGGATGCGCACAAGCAGCCGTGCCGGACACCAGGCCTCCGGGAAGAGCCTAGCTCTCCCCCGAGGGGGTGGGAGAAAGGAGGAGGGAAAGGGGCAGAGACACACCTGCTGGGGAAAGCAGGAGAGCAGGTGGCCAAAGCCACGGAGACAGAAGACGGACGGAGGCAAGGGTGTGAAGACAGACACCCGAAGCAGTCAGGGGTCCTGGGGTGGTCCGCTCAGACAACATTCCCGAGGGGAGGGATGCGGCCACAAGCGCAGCGCCCGCCGAGCGCAGGGCCACCCCATGTCGTTAAGCACCCATCGCAAGATCCAAGCGCAAACTAACTGGCTTCCCCCCCGACAGCGCGCTGAAGGGGGTCCTTGTGACAACCCTGCTCTTACACATCAGGCAGCCGGTAAGCAGAAGCCCTGGGAAGAGAATCCAGACCACCTGGTTCCACAAGTCCTACTCGTGGCCACGCCCGAAACTGGCTGCGCTAAGCAGCAGAGACAGTGCCGCACTACAGACCACGTGGTCTAACGCGGTGGGCCACCGTCCCTGCCAAGGTGCCGAACGACAGAGGCTTCCGAACCCCAGGGCCACAGCAGGCCCCGCCGCCCCGGCACACGGCACGGGTACGAAGAGGGCTTCTGGCCGGTGACATGGCGCACGGGGCGAGCAGCGACTGAGACGGACCACTCAGTAGGCCGTGGCAAGAGCCGAATGGAAGAAACGGCCAAGGCTGGACCAAGAGCAACAGGGGAAAGAGACCTTTCAGAGACACAAAGAGAATTCTGAAAGCAAACCGTCTATGGCCTTGGTCTCAGAGAGGACTTTTCCAGAGATTCCAGGGTCAGCCTACATCCACAGCTACGCGTGCTCCGAGAACCCAGCGCGTTCCCTCTTCTAACTCGTGGCAAGTGAAACATGCCCCTCTGCACGGGACAGTTAGGGATCCCGTCTTATCACCACCAACAGAGGATCATCTGAGTCAGATCTGAATTGAACTGACAGTGAACATAATGCAGGGTCATCCACTCAAGAACACAAAGGCGGGGGCGCCTGGGTGGCTCAGTTGGTTAAGCGACTGCCTTCGGCTCAGGTCATGATCTTGGAGTCCCGGGATCGAGTCCCACATCGGGCTTCCTGCTCGGCAGGGGGTCTGCTTCTCCCTCTGACCCTCTTCCCTCTCATGCTCTCTACCTCTCATTCAAAAATCTTTAAAAATTAATTAATTAATTAAAAAAAAAAAAAAAAAAGAACACAAAGGCGTTTGAAGGAAATCCCATGTCTGAAACAAGTGAGGTTAGGGGCTGTAGGCCACCCGTGTGGAGAGGCCCGGGACAGCTAGAAAGCACATGGGGAACGCAGAGCTGGCAAAAGGTGAGGGCTGGAGACTCAGACTTGCACAGAGAGGGCCGGTGGCAGGAAGGCGATGTCCCCCGCAAGAGCTCTAACCCAAAGGAGGGCTGACAAGAAGGTAGCTGAAGGAGACAGAGGAAGGAGAGCACAGCGCAGCCCTACACAGACAGCGCAGCCCTACGCAGGAGACGCTCAGGGCGCAGGAGCTCAGGATGCCCGAGGCGCCAGAGCACGGCAGGAAGGACCAGCACAGGGGAGGCAGCGATTCTCAGAGCAGCCTCAGGAAGAAGTGAAGGGAGCGGGGTCCAGGCAGCAAGGGGCCGACCTAGGAGAACATGCACTGACGCAAGGACGTGAGAAAGAATATCGTTCCCAGAACTCTGGACAGTCGAGCAGAGAGACAGCCCTTGGGTGGCGAGTAACCAGGATCAAGAGCGTTTGTGGTCCGAGGACAGACACAGGTGGGAGCAAGGTTAAGTTCATCTCTGACAGCTTTGGTCCTCCCAGTAAAGTGAAACTGTAAAACACCACGACTAGCAAAGGTGGGACAGAGCTCACAGCCCAGAACACCAGGAGGCCGAGCAGGTCACACCGCAGGCTTATCCCCAGTTCACAGTGAGCTGCAGAGCCCACCTCGGCCGTGAGAATTCTGCAGACACAAAAGCAAACCGTCTATGGCCCAGGCCATCTTCCACTTGGCTAACAATGTTGAAGCGCTCACAGTTCCTCTCTTGCAGGAGGCTGGCTGGGCACACCTCCTCTCTTTGTGGATAAGAAAAGTTACCTTTCCAGGATCACAGAGACACAATTACACAAAAACAGGTCCCCCTGTGTGGCTGCCCCCCTCTCTTCCAAGGCCAAAATAACCAAGCTGGCTGCTCAATACATGGCAAGTGGAGGCTAGGGGTGAGGGTATGGAGCAGGGAAGAAAAAGAAGAAACGAAAGGTCCAGCCTTTCTGCTACGTGAGAAGCTTAAGAATGAAAACAGCTGCTCTTCCTTATTTCACAAGTGAATGCATCCTAACATGGAGTATTTCTACAAAGAGGCAAAGTGTGACTTTCCCCTAAATTCAGATAAAAATGTAGGAGGGACATGTGGTAGATGGAGACTGAGTTCTAAAGGAAAAAGCCATAAAATCCTAAAGCTAACCAAAAGAACATAAAAATCACTATAATTCCTTTCTTTGCTTCTGCGATATCTCATCTTTGAAAGGCACAGGAAATGCAAATTGAGCTGAAATTCCAAGTAGATGATTATGGACAGGACAAGACAGTTATTCTACGAGAAATCACTATATTTGAGGAGAAACCTCTGGTAAACAGTATAAAGGAAAGACTATTTTGAAGAAACACACACCGCCGCCTGGATTCTACACGTGACACGGCCACCATTTTGAGTAGGGGTGCTCAGGAACAGCAGTCGGCTCCAAGAAGGGAGAGGACAGAAGCCAGGCCCCTCTGTGGCTCCTGTCACTTGAAGACTTAAGCTTCTTGTTACTCCCTTCTCCGTAAGTAGCTGTGTACGGAAGTCTTGTTACTACTCGAATACCAGGAGGAATAAATTTATAAGACCACTGGTGAGATCGCATTATAAAGAAACTTTCGCCGTTACTCCTACTATGAAACCTTCATTTCAGACTAGGAGATACACACCAAGTATGAAACCCACAAAGGCACATTTTCATGTGTTTCATTTGCCCTAAAGTCTTGGACCATCACAATAAAACTAAACATTACCACGCCAGGAGGCTGCGTCGGAAGCAGGGCAGGTCTGTGATCTTTTATTCTCGCTCGCTCGCTGCTCTCTCTCCTCTGGTCCCCCATTCCACGGCACACCACAGAGCCTCCTCTCCTTCCTCCCCGCCGCGAACCATAGCGCCCCTGCTTATGCTGTCGCTCTCTTTCTTCGAATTCAAGCAATGCAGCTTTGGCTTCTGCTGAAAGCTCTATTTGAAAAAATGCACATACGTTAGATACCTTCAATAGCCTAAACTAGATTTACAGGGAAAAACAGGGAAGACACACATGACCAGACACCCCGAAACAGCAAGTGCCTCACCCCCAGGAGAGAACTAGACTGGTGGCAGCAAGCAGGGTCCAGCCAGCGACACTCACAGCCCCTTACATGAACACCTGTTAAATGAAGATACGCCTTTCCCACATACTGTGTAGTGAGAGGCACAGGAGCCATGGTATTTTCACTTGAAACCACAAAAATGTGCAGAGGGAAGCTAAAAGGAAGGGGCCGGGGCCCGACTTCACACAGCCCTCAAGCTGCTGTGATCCCTTCCTCACGGCTGGCGGGCTGCACCGGGGAGGAGTGGGCTCAGCCAGGCCGACGCCACGCCGGCACGATGGCCACATGAGACCAGTACAAGCCGGACGGGTGTGCGGCAGCACACAGACTCCAAATGAAGAAATAAAACACATTCCTGCTTGTTTTGACGTAAACAAACTATTAATGAAAACACTCGGAAATCAATTAATTTCATACAATGGAAAACTCATTATCATTTCAGATTTATCAAAAAAGACCTTTACTCTGTGAAAAAAGACTTCTATCCATGTAGTCTGATATGGAAGTGATATCGGATGAGAGCAAACCACAGAAGAAAAAACTCATTAATGCAAATGCTTGTGGGACACCCAGGAGATGCTCACCTCTCTGACCAATGCTTTAAGGACACAAAAAAAACACGGACTCTGGCCCTAAAAAACTTCAGTTGGCACATTATTCTAAATTCCTAAAAGAGAAAAGCTAACTTATTCATATACGGTTCCTTTATTTTAAAATATTATCTGAATTGTGGTATCTTACATTAACAAATATACACCTTCTAAAGGTTTCACCGAATCCCGAGAGACATTCTTACACCTTCTTCCACAGTGAAAGGCAAATTTTAAACATTACCAGTTCATCTCCTCCCTTGGATTCACTAATCATCTCCAAACTCTACCAAAATCTCTAAGCCACATTTCATTTTCTTGATATTGTTTCTATGGTATTCCCCTCCCCTTCAAATAAATCTAGACCCCATTCAAAAGAAAATTTAATCTCCTCTTAACAAGCACAGACTTTTACTCTAATCTTGACTACATGATTGGTTCACATACACATTTTCTGCAGTGAATCAGCAATTATTTTTCTAGTGCTTCTAAGTGTCAAGATTAATTTCACTATCCCCAGTAATAAAATGGTTTCAAATGACATCTTTAATCAGCAAGTAAAAATGCTTTCCTCCAATTGAGACAAGCTGTCACAAAAGGTCACCAAAATATGACAGGATGGAAATTACATTTGTAACTTCAACTGAAATGTTAATTTCCCCTTAAGTGTTTTCTGAACTATGTCCATATTCTAAAGTAAAGAGATATAGCTCAATGTAACAAAGTTTTACACTGTATTGTCCTTTCCTAAAACGTGCTTAAGAAAAACATTTGCATACACATAATTCTTATAATAGTTGGGTTAATACATAATGAATAAGTATTTAGAGAATACACAGCTTATTTGGCAAAATAAAAATAACAAATGATAGTCTGAATTTTTTTTTAACAAGAGAATTTGAATCAAGCAATTTGTAAAAAACCTTGCTTGTAATACAAGCACCACTGTGTAAACTGAAGGCAGGATCCTACTGCTGCCCCTACCAATCTTAAACTGTTTATTACTAGATGAAAATATTCTTCCCACAGATCCTTGGTCTTAAAAACAAAATTAAGGATATTATTTCAAGAGAACATTATGTGGACATGATAAAAATGTTCTTTAGGTTAAAGCAGTAAAATACAACTTAACATATTACATGTGCCAATGAAATTTAGAATATTGCAAAATCTAGATGCCTACTCACAGACTAGTGGACAAAAAAGGCCTAACTAACATGAATGTAGTCTTCCAGGTACTGCACGTACTGCTCTCAAAGAGAATCTCAGGTCCACCTCCTAGGGCCAAAGAACTAACAGCTCTGAACTTCTGCGCTGAGACTTTAGAAAAACCAGTCACTGACACCTACTTTTTAGAGATGGCTTTTGACACGTCCATTCAAAATACATCACTCCCTTACACAAATCAGTTCTAGAAACCCTTCTCAGCTGGGTTCCACAAGAGAGTTAAGCCCTTAAACCCCAAGGCATCCTCTGTACGGAAAGAGCGAATCTATCTGCTAAGCATGTGGTTTTGTACCACCCTCAGGGAAACTGAGAAAAAGTCACATTTTCTGAAAGGCTTAGTTCCCAGAATGCTGGTTGAGCTCCTTACTTAAGATCTTAACCTACGTGAAAGCCCAAAATTCTACTTGATTTCAAAATACACATCAGCGACTGTGTACCAGGTTCTGTAGCTGTATACAAATCCGTGGTCGGCCCACTGAAGGACAGCATCCCCGATGTGAATTCGAGAACACCTAAGAGAGACCCAACAACACCCCTGTAGGTTCTGAAGGGAACTCACTACCCACATGCAGACCAAAGGGTCAGTAACGGGGGATGCCAGAGCATGATTTCAGTCTTCTTTTTAAAGAGTGGAAGGTTCTCAACATTAATCAATGATATAACAGAACCATTTTTATTTGTATTCAAAATGTTAAAAGACATCATTTGTCAAGAAATACATAACATATGAGACGACGTAGGGACTCTGGTAGCAAGATATTTTAATCCCATTACAAAAAGTGGGTAAACAGCTTTATACAGTCAAATAAATCTAAGTATTTCTATACAGAACCTAAAACTGGTATCTCTTATCACCAGGAGCACACAAATAAACTGATGGGTAAAACTTATGCAGATTTCTAGTTTACCAAATACTGTAGCAGCTTCTCTTTCTCAGTCAGTATTTTCTTCTGTGTAAAACTCACCTTTCGTTGGTGGGTGGGAGTGGGGTCAGGGTAATGAGAGAGTGCACTGTTTTAGGAAACCAATCTGTAAATGGACAGAAAAATCCTTTTTGTACGGGGAATAAGCCTAACTGAGTTACTAGAAAACTCGTGTTTCAAATACTAAGCTTGCTTATGTCAGGGCTCACTCATATGGAGCAGAGAAAGACGCATTTAAGCACCATTTCCGCTTGCCCTATTACCTGGCCAAATCTACACGAATGCATTATTTCTTAATGTTTAAAAGAACGGCAAAAATGTCCAAACTGTTTATGCTTACAGCCCCTCTGCCTCCAGACTCTCTTCCCTTGTATTTAAAGGCTCCGACTAACCCCTTCCAACCTCTTCTCTCAGAAAGTACAAATGACCCTGAAAAGAGCAAAATGAGGCAAAGGTCCTGAGATGTAGGAATGAAAGCAACACGGATGATAAACACAAGCAGGATGGACACCTCAAGATGTGCTGTCGGTGCCTGGGGCAAGTACAATGCACAGAGAGAGATACCCCAGCTGAGGGCAGGAGGTGGGCAGAAGCCTCGAGGTTCAGGGGAAAGTGACCTCCACCCTGGCCTATAGGGAGCTGGCTACAGACGGGAGAGGCCCTCCCTGGTGTTTACCAAATGATTTCACATCCTTAGAACCTGTAGCTATCCCAGTTATTATGGTTTGATATATCAAGTTCCCCAACGTATGTAACAATGCCACAGCCAGTACAAAACCGCAGAAAAGTGATGAATTCATCCCCAGCCCCAACCCTATGCCACTTCTCTAATAAGATGCTGCCCACTGCCCTCCACTGTTCAGCCAGGGGCACCCACCCTCCCTTGTTAATCTTACTCCAGCCCAAGCCTGAGAGGTCTGCTCCAGTATGTAATGTTAACAATTCCTCCTGCCGAAAGATACATTTTTGTTTTCTTCCCCTCCTCCTGTTTTCCCAAGGCCAACTTCAGATCCTCTTAGAAACTTATGTTGTCCTGCTTCAGACCAACTGGCAACTTTACAGCATAACTTGACTGAAAAGTCCAGGGAGTTCTTGGGTCAAAAGCTAGAGGAGGAGGAAATCAGAGGGCAAAGAAGTAGACCGCAAGAGTCTAACAATCTCTCCATAAATCTCACTTAGTAAAGTAACATGGTAAGTAAGACTGGCTCACTACTGTTAATTTGTACACACTGGGAGCTTGGCGTCCTCAGGAAGAATTCGCATCTGCCACTTACAGATCCGTGCTCATGTTTCCAAATGAAAAGGGCCAAAACAGTGGTTTAAGAAGTAGTAAATGTAGTGCCTGATGGGTAGTTTCTTGATTTTTATTTTGACCAAGACCCGAAAGCAGACAAACCTTGTCCTCTCACCCACCCACCCCCCTCTTCCTTAGAATACAGTACAATATCCCCATGGGTCTTAAAGTACAGGTTCCAGAGAAGAGGAGCAGCATCACCTGGTAACTCATCAGAAATGCAACTTCCTTGGGTACCACCCTAAACCTACTAAATCAGAAGAGCTGGGAGTGGGTCCAGGAATCTGTTTTAACAAGCCTTCTAGGTGATTCTGTTGCTCACTCAAATTTGAGAACCACTGCTTTATGCTTTGCAATGGACGTTGGAAAAAAGAAACCACTAGGGGTAGGGTAGGGTGAATTGTGAAAAAGGCTCTCTGCTGATCAGCAACAGCCTGCTGTAGATCTTTAAAAGCAGGGTTTGCTCAGAATGATGTTCAATTGATTATAAACAAGTCACCTTATCTCATAAAACATGGAGAGGAAATGACATCGAGAAAAAGAAAACAGAAAAAAGATGGTTATAATGACACTCACAGGTACAAAATACAAATAGTCTGGTCCAGAATTAGCCCTCCAGAGGGATCAAATGGCCCCGCACCATCCCCACACCACCTTCCCAGAGCCAGCCAAGACCTGCATGGTATGCATGAGAGTAGGTCCAGTAGGTCCATCAACTCCAAAAGAAAAAGCTATTAAAAAAAATCAGCAATCAAATATTTTATTCAAACATTTTTAATCCAGTAGACAGTCATCTTATAGAATTTATGGAATTACTTTTACAGCACCGTAACTCAGTTCTAACTTCACACAGACCATCCACTCTCTAGATGGCATGCACAATAATCTATGAAGTAGAACTGTTTCTACCTATTTGATTCATCATAATAGCACTATGGAGGAAGTTGAAATGGGAGTGAAGAAGGATGGGAGACAGGCAAAAAAAAGTTACCCAAAGTTTCTGGAATGTTCCTTCTCTCTCTAGTTACATCTGAGAGCCTAATAATTGTTCCTTCTTTCCTTTCAGTTTTGAAACGTAATCGTCCAGATTCTTCATCATCATCATCTTCTTCATCTGATTCTTCTTTTATGTCCTTCTGTAGTTCCAAAGTTTCCATACCTCCCTACAACGCAGACAAAACAAAAAGGGAAGGAGACTGAGTTCACATTCTTTTGATTTAAATAGTGAAGCATGATTTTATATATACATATATAAAATCATATATATATATAAAGGTTCTTTATATTTAAGATGTAAAGATACTGTAAAATGTTCCATGACAAGGCCATGTAAAACACTAAACTAATTCCAGGAACAAATAATCTCAAACGTTAAAAAAAGTTAGAAAAAGTTCAATTCCTGCTTGTAATCAATATACAATATATACTGTTGTTACTTATACTTCTGAGAGAGGAAACATGAATTTTTTTCCTATTTTTAAAAAAAATTTTTTAAGTAGGCTCCATGCCCAACTTAGGGCTCAAACTTACCACCTCGAGATCAAGAGTCATATGCTCCACCAACTGAGCCAGCCAGGGGGCCCAAGAAACATGAATTCCATCCAAAAAGGCCCTGCTGGCCTCAAGTCTGATCCAGATTCCAGCAAAATTCAATATATTCATTAAACGAACACTGGAGTTCCATGAGTTATGTAACTTACACTCGATGAGAGCATACTCCTTCCTGTCACGCACGCCCAACATTTCCAGAAACTCCTGACCTCATCCACCATGATTTTCATTCTAGACACACACTCCAAACCTGCTGTCAGGTCGGTTGGTTCCTTCAGACCCCAAACTCTTTCCTCACTCACTCTCACCTCTCCTTTATTCCACGGTCCAGAGTTCACGCCATCGCTGCCTCTGGCTAAGAATACTGCAACAGCAAAACTGTTCTTTTTCAGTCACACTAAAACCAGCTTTTATCTTTTATTTTATTATGTCAGCATTCCTACAAAAGTATTGCCTAATCCAGTCCCAACTAAAAGTAACTTCTTCATCAACAGTTCCTACTTTACCCCTGAGGTTCCCTTTGATACTGACCACTTTTCCCCTTGTACTAGGTCTTAGTGGCCTCCTGTGAGATAAGGTAGGGACGTACGAGCGCCAAGTTCATTTAAATACTTTTTGTACATGTAAAGAAAACAGAATTTGCCCCTTTGTTCTCGTGATTCGTAATTTTAAATGTCCTTTACTCTTTAGAGAAACAAAGATGAACTACTTTATTAGAAAATGCACAAAAAAAATTTAACATAAACCAAAGATACAACTGTTTCGTATTCTTTTCCCAACATGTTCTGTGCAAAAAGATCAACTACAAATGCACATACTCATTGCTTTAAATACTTCAGGTCTCTCACATCTTTCAGGGGTTCAAATGCCTGAAGATAAAATGATGAATGTAAACTAGATTTTAAGCCTAATGACTGTGATACCACCGCCTTTCAGTATTCTGACATTTAGTCTACCACAGAATTTTACAGTACCAAAGTCTTGGCATTTTGTTGGTTTGAGATCATTATTTCTGTCTTACTGAATATCTGAAACCAAAATGAGTAACATATTACGATGGACCCAGCTAGGTTCATGCTGTACTACACTCAAAGGTAAACTCCTTTACAAAGTATTCTTCCCCACTTCCATAATGCTCCAGAGCAGTGCTTCTCAAATTTAATGTTCATACCAATCACTGGAAATCCTGTTAAAATACAGATTGTGATTCTACAGGTCCATGGTAGGGCCTGAGACTCAGCATTTCTAACAAGCCCCTGATGAACCTAACACGCTGGTCCAGAGACCACAAGTTTGAGTAGCAAGACCACAGAGGAAGAAAAGAAATGGCTACCAATAAAGCAAAGATTCTACTTCCTACAACGGTCATTTCTAATTCAACCATTAACAATAATTTCAGTTCAAAGACTTTCCAAGCAAGTTTAACATGAAACATGAAAGACTGAAATTAATAAAGCTTATTTTGCATCCAAATCTCAAGAAATCTAAAGAGGACAAGGATGAGTTGAAAATTGTTTCTTTGAAACAAATACTACAACCCACCAGAGACAGACAAATCCAGTCTATGACCCAGCAATCGCATTCCTAGATATTTACCCAAGAGAAATGATCATTTATGTTCATGTAAAAAACCTGTAGGAAAATATTTAATGCTCTCTTTTGGATCACCAAAACTGGATCAACAGTAAGTGAACGGATACATAAACTGGATCCATCCAATGCTGATGAGCAATAACAAAGAATGAGCTACTGATACACACATGGGGTGAAATCGCAAAAGCCACGTGGGATGAGAGAAGTCAATCACAATACACTGCTAAGAGTCCATTCACAGGATGTTCTCCAAGAGAAAACATCGTACTGGTTGCCAGTGATTAGAAATGGAGGGAAGGCAGGACTGCAAAAGGACAGCATAAAGTAGTTTTTTGAGCAATTCAAGTCCTGGAATGCAAGCTTCTGGTCTAAGTCTCAGAGTCCAGTTAAGCCTTGAACTACACGAAGGACTACACAAGCCCAGAACTCACACCAAAGCAGGGCCTGGCCTCGCTTGCATCAACTACAGCCTACTACTTGACAACCTTCACTGAGCTAGACTCATGCCTTCAGGCACTGATTACTAAACACTGGGCTCCAAAAAAAAAAAAAAAAAAGGCATCTCTTTTGGCCATATGATTTACAGAATCAAATAACCTATCTGCCAAATTGCTGACTTTCTCCACAGTTTTTAACAAGTACTAGTTAGTATTCTATTCACAAGTAAAGCTCCAATGAAGGGCAGTGTCAGTGACATAAAAATCAAATTACCCTAAGATTCTATTTTGTAAGAAGTTAAATATGTGTGTATATCTGTGATCTCATTATTAGGCTTTGCCAAAAATACTCAAAGGCTTGATTTTTAACTACTTACCTTGAAAACTTGAAAGATGTAATTGTAATTCTTAACAGAGGGTACACATGAAAACCATCATGAAAGTTCCTTAAAAACAGACAATTCTATCAAAATCTTATCACATACAGTTGGACCCTTGAACACCACAGGTTGGAAATGCACAGGTCCACTTATATGTGATTTTTTTGGGGTAAATACAGTACTGTAAATGTATTTTCTTAATAGCATTTTCTTTCCTCTACCTTACTTTATTGTAAGAATACAGCATATAATACATATAACATACAAAATAGGTGTTAATCGAATATTTCTGTTATCAGTAAAGCTCCTGGTCAACAGTAAGCTCTTCGTAGTTAAGTTCTGGGGAGTTAAAAGTTACACACAGATTTTCAGCTGAGCGGGGACCAGTGCCCCTAACCCCAGAGTTGTTCATGGGTCAAAGGTATACATAAAGAATTAGAAAGTCTAAGGGGAAGCAAGACCCAGACCTGCATATATTTTTAAGTTCTCCAGATAATTCTGAAATGAACCTATGATTTCAGCATTTTAAATGAAAATTCAATATTCTTTCCCAAGCCCAAGGGGAAAAAAACAGGTAGTTCTCTGAAACGGGGGGGGGGGGGCGCGCGCACAGAGAACAGTTTTAAAAAACTTCCCCCAAATTTTTAATGCTTACAGAATATTTAATAGAGAATAATTCTTTATTATACCATGAAATACAAATCAAATACAAATATTAATTCTACCGATAGTGAAAATTTAGGGGCACCTGGGTGGCCCAGTCTGTTAAGCATCCGACTCGTGATTTCGGCCCAGGTCATGATCTCAGGGTCTTGAGACTAAGCCCTGCATGAGGCTCCGCACACATCAGGGAGTCTGCTTGAGATTCTCTCTCCTTCTCCCTCTGCCCCCTCCCCACTGATTGCTCACTCACACTCTCCCCGCTCTCTTTCCAAAATAAATAAATCTTTTTTTTAAAATAATGAAAATTTACAAGTTTGAAAGATGGAGCAATCAAATTGCACAAAATTCTAAGAAAATTACAGACCATTATTCTTCATAAATACACACAAAATTCCTTAAAAAAAAATAAAAGCACATGTAATCCAGCAAAACATAAAAAGGAAATATATCACAACCAAGTGAGGTTTAGCCAGAAGCACAAAGCTGATTTAAGATTCAAAAAAAAAAAAAAAAAAATCGCACTCTCTGCCATCTTTCCATGCCGCCATAATGGTGAACACGAAGTCCTGGCAGATGCTCTCAAGAGCATTTCTGTGTGTGTATGGCTGTTTTAAGTTATTAGTTTTTAAAATCAGTACTTTTTAATGGAAACAACTTGACCAAAAATCTGTCACAGAATTTTGAGACCCATTAAAACAAAAGTTTAATGAGAAAAAAAACAATGCTGGGAAGAGAGGCAAATGCCAGGTTCTTATTAGGCCGTGCTCCAAAGCCATCGTCCAGTTTCTCACTGTGAGGATGAAGCATGGTTACACTGGCGAATTTGAAATCACTGATGATCACAGAGAGGGGAAAATTGTTGTGAACCTCACGGGCAGGTTAAACAAGTGTGGAGTGATCAGCCCCAGATCTGATGAACAACTCAAAGATCTAGAAAAATGGCAGAATAACCTGCTCCCGTCCCGCCAGTTTGGTTTCACTGTACTGACAACCTCAGCTGGCATCATGGACCATGAAGAAGCAAGACGAAAACACACAGGAGGGAAAATCCCGGGATTCTTTTTCTAGGGATGTAATAGGCAGGAAACTTTGTGCGGTGTCACCGTGAGCACCTCCAGCTGTATTAGTGCCATTGGAATAATAAATTTGATATGGTAGTGGAAAAAAAAAAAAAAGATTCAAAAAATCAATTTAACAATCTTAGAGAAAAATCCCAAATACATGTAGATAGCCCCCCTGCCCCCAAACCCTCCTCCAGAGGTGAAAGTCCAGTCCTTCCCCTCCTGCTTTAAGGGCAGACTACTAGGGACTTGCTTCTAAGGAACAGAGCACAGAAAAGGAAAGACCACACTTTACAGACCTACTACCTGTAACTGGCAAACAGGATATGACCACATCATCAAGAACATTGCCAGGGAGGTTCTATACCCAGTGGTATGATGGATGAGAAGGGCACCGAACCTCTGTGGCATTCCAAAACCCATTAACCCCCGTGTAATCATGAGGAAAGTATCAGACAAGCGCAGACTGAAAGACATT